ATCTCATGATCAACCAGTAGCATCATATTTCATGGGGACGATCTGGTTTACCAGTTTTTCCTGAAGTGCAGTTCAAATACTTTTTTGCCTTCAATTTTGTATCAGAATTCCGTGAAATTCTTTTCTGCCATTCTTGCTAACCCCCATACAACCCCTGGAAAAAAGTTTGAACAATAGAAAGCGATGAATGCCTTTCGTTTTAGGCTTTTCAAATAGAGACATTTCTATCGATGATTCATTGCAATTTTTCCCCATTTCGTTGAGCAAATGTGGAGAATTATCTTGGTGTTTGCTCTTGAATTCGTATTCCACGGCCTTCCTGTGGAGCTTACTCTCGTGTCGGCACCCCACTCATTGTCACCTCACAACGTATGCATCCTCTCGTTGGTATTCAGGATTTTTTTGAAGAGATGCTTCACATGCCCCGAATTCTCCTGCCCAACCCTTATTATGTACATGCATCGTTACCTGTAACTACCCTTACCGCCTTTTTCTACCCAATCGTTACACGAAGCCATTTTCCAGTAACCCCATTATTGTGGTGCCAATGAGGGAGAAGATCGATATGGGCTGCAAAAATTTCGTCGGCCTCAAATTACTAGACAAAACCACTCGAAAATCGATTCCATGACGGAAAACGCTTTGTTTCCGAAGGACAGTCTTTTTCTGTCCACCAACTTCCAGCCCCGAGACGCTCCCATTAATACCGATTCAGAAGGGTTCAGAGAATTTTCTATGAGCCCTTGAAAGCAATGGGATCCCCACGTTCACCGGAATTTCTCTGGATCAACATTTCCAACCGTTAAAGCTGCTCATTTGTCTTGCGCCCTGCATAACAGCAGCATTCCTTCGTGTGATGGCTTAGGAGGGCAGAGCGCAGAGAGGGTAGAGTGCCGGGCATGTCAGTGAACAAGGGTGGGCTGAGAGGGTTGCTATCGGCTGGCGGCCGCCATGAGAACAAGTGTTCGTGAAAAATGGTTTTCCCTCCTGCTCTGAGGTATACAAGACACCTGGACCAGACATGAGCTTGAGTAGGAGCTTCCAAATCGCTGCAATTGCAACCAATAAATCAGTATAGATACATCTTCGTTCGTTTTTTTCCGATTGAGCCCTCGAATGTTCCTTTTTTTGATGGCTGGAATGCTTGGATCCGGGGCGTTCCACTGGCATTTGTGAGGTGGTGGTCTTTTCAAGCTTGATTGGTTTGCAATATGTAACTCATTCATCTTTGGAATCATTGTTCTGGCTTCAGGCTTGGTTTTCCTTAATTCCCGTGTAATAATAAAGTTCCTGGCTTTGATCAATACCGTCTGGGGAAGGTCTCTCCCCCAACTTGACTTCAATTCAGAGTCCGAAGTAATAGAGGACGATAAACTACTTATGGTCGTTGTACTAGTCTCTAGAAGGCTTTCCTCTGAACTCTAGTACAAACGGTTTTCATGGCCTGGAATGGAGGTGGTTACATGGTGCATCTCAAATTCATCGACGTTTCTTACACAGTCAGAGAATAAAGAATAAAGCCTTTGGGCGTTAATCAATCCCGTCGTAGGGATGCACCCCCACATTCGATTTCCACCCAAAACGTGTGTAGTGGGTATACGGCTTATACAATGACTTGCGGTTGCCAGCCGATGTTCAAGTAAGTGTTTTTTAACTTCCTAGACGGATCTGGCACCAATTAGCCTACCCCGAAGGGAGGGAAGGCTTGGTTGGCCTAGCGGGTATCGATCCGGGATCTGAACTCAGGACCATACGTGTGAGATAGTGCGCTGCTTGCCCCTACACCACCTCCGCTCCACTACACCAATGTTAATAATGGGTATGTGAAAGAATTTTCGTCGCTCGGAATTACATCTCGACTGCTTTCGTTTCAAGGTTAATCAGTTGAAGTATCATAAAGTCAGATGGCAAATAACAAGGGCATAATGTTTAGCAAGAATCAAAAGCTAAGTTTACGATAAAAATGCTCCCTGAGATATCCCCCAGGATAAGTCTATGACCCCGCGTATGCCACATGTAACGCTGTCAGATGTAAAAGAAAGGGCGGTCAAGATAGGGTTTGTTAGGGGCTCGAAAACATTTTTCACTGTATGCCACACCCAGATATGACCGTGTTTCAAAGACCCTGAAGAGGCCACGCCATTCGCACTGGAGCGCACATGCTGAAAATTCAGTTGACCCATGGTGACCCTGGAATGTAATTTTTGGCATTTTGGCTTACGGTAGTCACCTCTAAGCAATAAAACACTACCGACAGCTCGTCCGAATACCCCTTCCATGCCAGTTCTATCGTCTCAATCTCGTACAATCCCCCTTTTTTTACTACTTTTTTGATTTTTTCTCATAAAATCCTCCAACTTTATGATGCAGTTCGTATGCTGCCCTGGTCCATATTTTACCAGTTTACCAGTTGGCTTGGCTTGATTAATTTTTCATTTTTCATCTCCATTTATTTGTTCTCCACCTCAAATAAGCGTTTTCATCTTTCGGTTGCCAGGAACTTTTTACCCAAGCGAAGCGTAATCACTCATTCGTGTCTACCCTTAAGACTGGAGGGAATCAATTTTCCCAATTCCATTTCCAAGAGCGCTTATGAACCGATTTTTGCAAAGGGCATCGTTCAAAAACCAGAACCTTTTTTCGCAATCTTGGCATTCTGCACCACTTTTCGCTTTAGCCGTGGGGCGGGCTCTTAAGCTTTTATGCTCGTCGGTATCCCTGGATATCATTTGCTTCGGAGTTAAAGATGAAACTGTTGAAGTAATAATTCAAGTGTTGAAAATGCATGAATGTATTCGACGGCCTTGAGAAAGAGTCGCGTACTTATTTGGATTAATGGATGCTTCTTGATGGTTTTTATTGGCTATAAGGAGATGTAGCGTATGTATGGCTTTTATCAGCCACGGAAACGATGCATTAGAAGAAGCCTGTCTAAAATTGGAGATGGAAAAATGCGTTACACGTTCGTCGATGATGCAAATCAGTCAATTGTTCAACAAGTTAGCTATTTTTGCGATAGTTAGGCTCTCTAACTACCAAGTCTATACCATCAATGGTCCTGAACAACTCTTGCTTCTTCAATTGGATAAAACCTTCGGAAAACTTGAACTTCCCAAGCTCAAGACATTAAATAAATTCCTTGATCATGATTTTTATTTACTCTTATTTGTTTTTAATGTGTTTTTGTAGTTGGTATGTATGACTAATCTTGTTTATTTACTTTCCTGTTAACCGCTTTTGTTTACAGGAAAGTAAATAAATGAAATAAAATAAATCCTATTTGACACTTTTTCTTCTTTTCTGTCTCCTACACACCAATGTATGTATGTACACATCACAGCCATGGTTCCCTTGTCTGATTGCTCCCACTTTTTTCCATTATGAAAAGCCTCTATACCATTTGAATACTACAACAACCTTTGGTAAACCTTATTGTTTTTGTTTACAAACGACAGAAGCTTGCAATCAACTTAATGGCCATATTCGTGATTTTAAACAAGCGCTAGAATTAAGGCATCGATCGGGATGGTCGAAGGGAACTCGTCACCAAATTTTTTACCACGGCATGGGTCTCATTAGGGGAAGAGCCTATTCCGCTGCTTCTTCCTCTTCTTCCGCTATTCCGCTGTCTTTCATCATTGAGCGCTGTATTCGGGGGAAAGGGTCTGACCAATACAGTAACAAAGGTTTGGGAATTGCGTGGGAAGGTGATGAAGTTCGTATGCTGCCCTGGTCCATATTTTAGCAGTTTACCAGTTGGCTTGGCTTTATTAAATTTTTCATTTTTCATCTCCATTTATTTGTTCTCCACCTCAGATAGGCGTTTCCATGTTTCGGTTCCCGGAAACTTTTTTTCCAAACGAAGCATAATCACTCATTCGTGTCCACCCTTAAGGCTGGGCGTAATCAATTTTTCCATTTCCTTTTCCAAGAGCGCTTTTGAACTAATTTTCTTGGTATAGAGATCGACGTTCAAAAACCAAAACCTCATAAACGATCTGAATCCAGACCATACTCTCTAAATAGACAGCTCCATGTCCTATCACGGGGGTACCTTTTAGTTTACCTTGAGACTCTAGCAAAAACTTAGTACATAACAGAAATCTGGTACTACAAGAAGCGATAGCGGGGAAAACCATACTAGTTCTTGAGATTTTCCGTTTGGTTTGTGCTTCACTTCCTTGCAGAACATGCCATAATCTCAAGCGAATTGCTTCTATACTTTTCTGATTACAAGTGGGCCTGCGGTTTCCTACACGACACCTTCTGAGGGAAAGGGACTGTTGAAAACGTTCAAGCTCAGCTGTTAACTGCATCACCAATCAGGTGGATTCCTGGGACCATTTTCCGTCTACATTCCTACTTCGCTCTTGTCATTTCACATCTGTTGTCCTGAAGCGATCCTTCTGATTAATTACTACCTGTAACTCCTTGCAACACACCTTCTTCGATAACTGCATGGTACATGAGAGACACCATCCTCTTCCCTGGCCATCCTACCTCTCGTTTCAATACTGGATTTATGCCGTTGATTGACATTTTATTGTTGATCCATTACAACTTCCTGCTCACCCATTTCGTTAAGGCCGTTCCCAGTTTTTTGCTCTATTTCCTTGTTTATTTCTCGACGATACGTTCATCGTGTAGTTGATTGTTGCTGATCGACTGATGATTAGCTCTTTCAGGCCGAGAATGGCCGATAATCGCGGAAGGCCACCTAAATTGCCGCCGCGCCCAGGTAAGNCAACGATGAGAAATACTTGAATGAGTTCATTACTTCATGCAGGGAGTGTGCCAAATACTTTCTATCTCTATCAGGAAAAATANTTTATGCCGTTGATTGACATTTTATTGTTGATCCATTACAACTTCCTGCTCACCCATTTCGTTAAGGCCGTTCCCAGTTTTTTGCTCTATTTCCTTGTTTATTTCTCGACGATACGTTCATCGTGTAGTTGATTGTTGCTGATCGACTGATGATTAGCTCTTTCAGGCCGAGAATGGCCGATAATCGCGGAAGGCCACCTAAATTGCCGCCGCGCCCAGGTAAGAGTTTCCTTTTTTTTCAACAAACAAAATGATTCATAGCATCAGCTCTCTGCCCACTTGCTTGTTACTTTCTAATGTGTGAAAATGTAGCCGGGGAGGGAGGGAGGGGAAAGGGGAAGGGAGGGAGGGGAGGTCGCTCTTCCCAACATTGAACGCTAGAGCGCAGAGAAGGAAGTACAGTCAAAATTGCTTGTACTCAGAAACGTTCCTAGCCGGAAGAATTTAGAGTTTACCTGAGCTTCAGGAGGGAACTAGCCTCGGAGTAGATGAGATTGTCATATTTTGCAGAAAGCTTAGATGGGGTATTAAACATTCAATTGGCTCTTCTACCCAGCCGGTGCTTCTTCCCTCCTGAGGGGTAAAACAATGAAACGACCTGAAAATAACAAATTTTTCCACTATTAGAAACTTTCCTAAACACCATCATAGGCTCCTGTGGTCGGCTACCCCTCCTTTGCACTTTAACGCTTAGCGCTGGGGAATAGCGGAGCTTCCCCTGCCCCTCCCAAGCCCATTTTCACCTGGTACTGTTATGTGTTTGATTTTGTCCACTTCTGTTATTATAGCGTTGTTGATGGGTTTTCACTAGCGTCTTCTGAAAGAAGAGTTGCACATGTTATTGATGGAACCCCTATTCAAAAAAGGCTCTTATCACACCTCAGGCGACATGCCAGAACAGACTAACAGAGAAAACTGAACATCTCGGGATCAATTGTAGTCGTTTGGATGGCTCATTCGTTTTTCCTCCAATTTGGCGGAATAACCCATCCATTTATGCAGATTATCTATCATAAACTAACAATTGGCGTATAATTTTCTGTTGAATTCACCTACATATTCCGCTCTTGAAAATTGTTTGGGCACTAATGTTGGTAAAAACAATTTTGATGTCTGTTATTCAGAACATTAGTAGAATGAAGTTGTTTAAATGGAAGTAAATGAGCTTCAACCTCAAAATCTGCTTATGCATGGTACAATTGTGTGACCTCTACGCCTAGAGTGTTTCATAACAAGCTCAAGATTACCCCAAATAAGTTTAGGTACATATCTTTATCAGATTTATCAAATGATGCTGTTGTCAATCAGACGAAAACTATTCCTCTAGAAAGAGACAGCAAGCTATGTAGTTTTATTCATCTAGTTACGTTTTTATGTTTTACAGATTCGCAGTCGGATAGACCGACATGGACCGTAACGCGGAGAGAAAGGACCGAACTTTCACCGTTACGGTATGTGTTCTGTTATTCTCGAAGATACCAGTAGACAGACTCTTCTTCCAAGAGACTTTGATCGAAACTGAGTATTACGTCGTCGTTTTTGAGATGCAAATGGGTCTCATTTCTCTTGAACAATTCTAAACTTAGCTTTTTTTGGAAGTTTGTTATATTTTTAGATGAATTAGAATGAATTAGGGAGGCGAGAGCAAGAAAGGATGACAAGGGAAAGCTTTCTAGCACCTCATACATATAACTGATCACTGTTCAAAGGCCCTGTTCACGGCAAAAAATGGTTCCTGAGATGAACGTATGGTTCCGGATCGAAAAACGAAGGGGTGTTATAAGGGCTTCGTAGCGGCTTGTTCGACGAATACGCCCAAAAGTGGCCGTGTTGTGACGGCCTTTTCAGAGCTGCATCATTTACAGTGAAGCGTTAGGAAGCTGGCGAATAGAACGTTATGTAGGAGACACGCAGACGGTTACAGACACATAATCTCGTACAACCCCTTCTTACTACTTTTTGAAGCCTCATACTTTTTCAAATTAACCAATTCTCGCTTTTTCTTCCGCTTTTGCCTTATTCTGGACCATGTCGTCCATTATTCGACTATAATCGGATAATCCGAAATGACCGTCAACAGTGCCTTTTAAAAAAAGGTGGAATTCATGTCAGTTTACACCAGAGTGGCTATGTTCACTGAAGTGGGTAGCTCATCCATTTACCAGTACCTTTTGCGTACTCGGTTTTTTCTTTAGCTTCTCGGCTGAACCTCGACGAAATTCAGAATTCAGCATGCAATTACAATTACAGCAGGAGCGTTCGTACCTAATCTCTCAAAACCTAACCTGACCCTTGAAATTATCTTGAATTCTTTGTACTTTTTTTTTCCCCCCCCCCCCCCCCCCCCCCCCCCCCCCTGAGGAGGATTATGCAAAATATTACAGAATACCTTTTTATTTGGCAATTCGACTTCAGCTTCCTGGGGCAATGATGAATCTGGGCTAGTGATCAATTACAAGCCAATTCTATGACAATGACTCACACTCACTCCTCCTCTTAGTGTTTCGTATTCATTTGGATCGGCGCCGGCTGGCTATCTACAGCTAACCAATCCAATCTGTACGAAGCCTCCCCAATCGCTCATTGATTGACTCATATCAGTTCTTGTTTAACTGCTCCAAGAACTTCTAATTTCTCATTGAAAAGTATGTTCAGATTTGTATTACTATTTAGTAAAAATCACAAGTTAACTTAAATATTTTTATGTGGTGCCCATAATTAATCATTTGGAGGTAATTATTTCCAAAATTTTCAGATCAACTTCACCATTTCAATCACGAACGGTGACGACAACTGAAAGAGTGCAAATTCTACAGATGCCTATTAATCTTACTGAACAGCAAATTGAACCAGCTCGCTTATTGGCGCTGTCACCCCACGGCAATCCTACCCAATCCGTTTCCTCGACGGTCACCACGTTGGCAGTGAGTCTTTCATCTTATTTAACGAGCTCTTTGATGGTAATCCCTTGAAACTTTTATTGCGATGTGGTTTCTGTGGTTTCATGAAAAATTCCCAAAGAGCCGGTTCTCACTCTCTTTAAACCTTCTGGTAGAACATTCTACTATATTTTGCCCCAGAAAATCCCTAGAATGTGTATGATTGGGCAGGTTTTAATTTCTCGATCAAAATTAGCGCTGAGGAAATAGATTACTTTTCTGTACTCGTATTTCAACATCAGCATTATTGAGTGCCTCATGTGATGACAGAGGGAGTTTGGAGGGTTGTCTGTTTGTTTATCCATCTTGCTCATTGAATAACTACGCTTAAACTAACAGCGAGGTCCCTTTTCGATGAGGACACCCAAATGAGAGGCTATTAATAGTTTTGACTTGATGTTCTGTTAACTGCTGTATTTCGCCGCAGTACGCGATCCCAAAGTCTCACAAAGTTGGCGATTTGTAGATGAAACTTCAATCTCGGAGGAGATTCGAAACCGTACTTGTGCACTCCAGGCACCGTGCCCTATCCCTTACACTACCCGGAAAGCACAAGTACGGGTTCGAGTCCCGTCTGAGACTGAAGTTTTGATATGGCCAACCTTGTGAGGCTAATTGTTATATCGTAGTAATAAGAGATAAGTATCAGATTTACCACATTGTTTTGTTGCGATGGTCATCTCTTGAAAAGCTTTTTCTGTCCATTCTCTATAGAGAGCTTTTTTCAGTTAGCGTTCTTCTTTGAGTTTCCAACAGAAAACCCTTTCTGTCGTCTGCGGTATCAAAGCCGATGATGACATTATCCGATGAATGCGTAAATCTGTCAAACTATTGAGATGATGCAAACGTCTCGGATACACTTTTTGAATCCTTTACAATTTTATTTGAACTCTCTTCCACTCATCCACTTAATCACCAATGCTTTCAATAACACTCATTAAACGAGCGGCCAAATCGTCTGTTTTCTTCTCTCGAAAAATGCTTCTATTGCATATAAAAGTGTGCATCAAAGGCAGCGGGCAAGGTAGTCCGATGAAGACGAAATCGGTTATGTGAATGGTCAGCAATTCATCGGGAAAGAAGTGACTGAAGGCCTCCTTCAAACGGTATCTATAGAAGAGTCGGATTGGATGGTCTGAGACACTGCGCACACGACGTTATGCTTCTCGCGACAGGATTCGTCACCTGTAAAGGCATATCATCACCTAGGTTGCCGTTACCCCAGCTGCATGTTCTACACTTGGAGTGGTCTCAAGGAAATAGCATGGCGGAGGATCATTTTGCAATCACAACAATCTTTTCCTATTGTTTTGTTGTTCAACACTTTTTTTNTTTTTTTGGCGAAATTCTGGATTCGGCCTGACCAAACCAGCCTGCCAAATTCGTGGAATTTTCGCTTTACAACTGCGGTGCAAAACACTTTTAAAAAAGATAAAGTCCAATTGTTCATTGGTTTCGCTGTTGTTGAGATCCTTCATTTACCTCTACTCCTCGCCTTGATCTGTCATTTCAGTATTATACATGCTGAAGATAAACGCTTTCAGAATATTGCTGATGTCCGTCCTCATCCGGCGGAATCCCAGAGAATTAGATCTGTCGTCTTCTCGAGCGAGCCATAGTCGACCACCCTTTTGGAGTAAGCTGTCCAGACTGTCTAGTTGATTCTTGATGAATGTATCCATGACGGTTACGATGGTGGCCGATGTTGGCGGTCTACAGATGCCATCGCAGTAATCACTTCAAAAGTAGGTCGCTGGTCAGTCATGTAAGGACACTTCACCTCTAATGTATAGTCAAACACCAAGGACCTTAGCATAACTAACCAACCCATGTTTTGGAACAGAATCACTTCTCGTACTACTAGTCTGCGTCCATACATATTGAAGGAGTAGAAACGTACAGCTCGAAGATTAAATTGGTCTTTCCGCCCATATTGTCTGAACGCTACTTATCATAAGCAATTTTACACTCTGCCGGAAAAGTATTGGAGAACGCATCAAAGGAAGTCGTCCTAATAATTGCACCATGATTCTCTGCAATTCTTTTTTATCAAGGTCTCTTCAGGAGTAGAGCATGCAATTAGGGGAAGAAAACAAAGGATGAGATGCGCTCTCACAGGTGATCCGTCCTTGTAGGAAGAAGTGCCGTGCGTGTCTCAGATTATCCGATTCGATTCCGCGATTGATGCTCGTCGACGGAGGCTGTTGGTCATTTTTTTGGATGAATTTCCGACACTCCCATCTCCAAGTTCCGCCTTCTTCGATTTATCTTGCCCATTGGCTTCGATGCAACCGTTCTAACCGCAATGGAAACAGTTTCGGAAGAAGTAAACAGATGACACGCCCGCTTGTGGGATGAATGTCTTAAGTAACAATGGTTGTTATATAGTAAAGTGAGTGGGAGTTGAAGTACAATAAAATTATAAAAAATTTTGCATCCAAATGTCCCAAAACGTTTGCATCATCCTTATAATTTATAAACCTTATATTCCTTATAATATTTTCTGAAGCTCCGTACATCTTTCTCCAAACTAGCCGATCTTTCCGTTTCCATCGCCACTTTTTCACTATTTTGGATTATCACTTCATTTTTCGTCGAAAACTAAATCTTCCGAAACTATCGTGATCTATGCCTTTATACCAAATGTTGCATACTTCTTCTGTCTCAGCAACGACATTTTCTCGAAATAGTCAAGCTCAGAGTCCTGCTCTTTTATAAAACATGACTAAGATTTTTTGTACAGTAGTTCGGAATTTCCGTTTAATTTACCTTTCCTGCTTATGTGAGTTCATCTTCTTACAAATCTCGTACCCACTTGCTCTTATGATATCCATGTGAAACACTGATTCCAATGAACTAGGCCGATTTAATCATCTCGAAATATCTGTATCAGGACGTTTCCGTGAAAGAAAAAGGACTGATAATTATCAGAGGGGCGAATAATCTTCACGTGGACATATGTTTATACCCTCCGGCTCAAATTTCATGATACCACCTTTTAACTCCATTTCGTCTCCGTTATCATTTCGTTTACTTCAGTTTATTACTCGCATTATAACATATGACGCTATAGACGGTAATTCCGATGACGGAATCCTTGCCACGTTCCGATTTTTGTAAAGCTTATAAAATATACTCGTTGGAAATGGCCAAGAAGGAAGGCTAGGGAAACCAAAAAGCATCCTAGATTACAAATTCATATTTGATAGTATGTTTTTGCTATTAGTGATTTTTTAAATCTATATTAATATAATTGGAGCTGCTATACCATGAAAAACGAGGTGGAGTAGTCACCTTTGTGGGTCATACGTGAGAAATATAGAATAGTTTTGCTCCAATACACAACAGTGAACCCCAATACATCACAGCTTTGAATTTTGGAACAAAAAATCGTAAGGAGATAGAGTCTCAACATTATAGTGAGCCGTTTTTAAGGCTGAGGGAATACCACTAATTTCTGGTGTAACTTCGGATGGTGCATCGCTGTTTCAAGGAATATTGTATTGTCCTGAATCAAGGCACACGACAACAATTATTACCACTACAACTACCACTTATCGAATGGTAGAGGTTAGCGATAGTGATTCCCTATCTGATGATTTTGAATTAGTGGACAGCAGTACTCTGACAGTTGATGTCCCTCTTGTAACTTCACGAACTTCTTCCCCATCCCAATACATGATCGTTGCAAAGAAGGAAACGGAGGCTCCACTTTCACCAGTTTTGCGGTCAACAATGAATATCGATTTGGAACTTTTCCCAAAACGAATAGAGCGAGCCAAAGAGTTGGATGAAAAACCTTTGGTGGAGGAGGTCTCTGTTTACCATTCCGGCGTTTCCTCTGATCACGATGGCACGCAGTCTACGTCCGAATTAGAGAAGGTAGAGTCACCTGAAATATACACTCAAGAAGATATAACATCGGCCAGCGATAAAGATTATGGGATCAACATCCGCAGCAGCAGTGACTTGAAAACAATAAGTACATCATCAGACGACGAGGATCTGGTCTTGATAGAAAGAGAAATGGTTCAAATGACCACCAGTGAAAGCTCGATCGGAGATGAAAAATATGGTGATTTGAAAGAAAAAGGCACGGAGGAAAGCATACAGATGACTTCTGAGAGAGCAGAAGAAACACAGGGAATGACCACTGCAGATGTAGCAAAAATGTTCAGCGAAAAAATAACAAGGATGTTACAAAAGCAACCTGCCACAATGGACTATTCGCCGTCACAAATGCTCACCAGAAGAGTCACACTCACGGAAACTCAAGAAGACATCGAAACGAAAACAGTAACAGAGGAAATATTCCTTCGTGAAAGTCAGCTCCCTAGTACCGATGAAGATCAATCAATGCTGAAGGGTGTAGAGTCTATAGAAAAGAAGTACTACGGCTATCCTAGTACGTCCTCATATGAAGGTCCACTCGACAGCTTTATGCGAACCAGTGACATTTATGGTGAACCTTTGAAGCAATATGTCACTGTGTACCACAGTGGACGTTCCGATGAACCAGTACCGAAACCAGAAGAAGAACACGTTGACATCGCTGATGCAGCGAAAGCATTCGGTGAA